AGGAGGACAGAAGCCACCATGGTAGCTCTCTTTTCATGGTGCCTAAGCCTCCCCAGCCCTTTCCTGCTACCCAAAGACATACATTTGGCATTCAGCACAGCCCAGGAGGGATGCTGGAGAGGTATGAAAGACCTTTAAATGAAAATAAGAGGACACTCTGCTCTCAGTGGCCAATCATGTTGTAATGAAGGCACAACAGGTTGGAAGAAGACTGAAATAAATACCAGAGAGCAAAAACACTCTCTGCAAAGTGACCTGAAGGCAGCTCCAGGACAGTCTTTAAGTCCCAAGGCTTTCACCCTTTCTCTTTATTATTTAAAATGGGCCTGAGCAGAACCCTGCAGAACACCATGCTCAGACCTTGTATTTCCAAGTCCAAGATATACCTGTGCAGAGAAACTGCAGAGAGGCAGCACTGGCCCAGGGCTTCCCTGGCCCCAACGCCTGTGATTGTCCCCTGCCTCAGCAGGGCACCGTGAGGCACCGAGTCACCTCGCGGTCCCCCAGCGGGGCTTGAGGATTAATTAATGCTTGCACAAGGCTTTGAAGAGAAGCGCTCCCCTGCAGTAACAGCTACAGGTTGTTACGTCCTCAGCTGAGCTGACTGCAGCTCTGCCTTCACGTTCGTTAACTCTGGAGGAGTCAGAAAAGAGAACAGAGCAAAAGAAAAAAAAAACGCCACGTACGTTCACACTTGGAGAATGTCAACACGGCTGTCAAACCGAGGCAAGCAGCCAGCACAGACAGATTCAGGGCAATTTTCAGCCAACCAGTGCAGGTGCTGATGGTGTCTCCAAGATCACTGCACCTCAGGAAACACTCGTGCGCTCGGAGAACTCCAGTTCCAGGATGCTGCTGCTCCAGAGGCAGCGCAGCGCCGTGGCCCCTGCACCGCGGGACGGCCGCACGGCGGGAGAAGGGAGCTTCTGCGGGAAGACAGAGGAGCACAATGCTCTATTGCCACAAACGGGAAGAGCCTCTCTAGCCTGCTCAGCTCTGCATGGGCTTTCCGGTGCTCTCCGGTGTGCCTTGCTCCTGCCTGGAAGCCGCTCAGGACGGAGTGGTTCCTTTAGCTGGTCTGAAAGCAACCTGCTGCAGCGCAGAGCAGGCAAGGGCAGCAGCACCCGAGGGCAGCAAGGCAGGGCGATGTGTGCGCCGGGGCCGAGGCGACATTTCCCAGGGGAGGCGGCGGCTCTGGCTTTGTTTTTGTGCTTGCCCCAGCTCGGCTTCCTCTCACGCCGAGGCCACAGCTGCACCCTGCCTGGCGGCGGGCAGGCAGCGCGTGCACATCGAGCCCAGGCTCTCCTCCGCGCGCGAGGGACGCGAGGGACGCGGCAGGCAGGCTATCCAGTGTCTTTTCCAGCCCCTCGCAGGCACCGCTCTGTGACAGGCGCTGCCGTGCCAGAATGCCCCGCGCACAGAGCGGCCTCCCTTGACACGACAAACGAGGGAGAGCGAAGGGATCTCGGCGCCACGGCGCCTATCAGCCCCTCCAGGCGAAGCCCGTGGCCAGGCAAGCGTGGCCCAGCACGGGCCAGGAGCCCGCGCTACTCATCTGCGAGGAGCCTAAGCAAGACGCATCACTTCTGGGTTCCTCTGCATCCAGCCTCTCCAGCGAGCAGGTCTTGGCAGCCAAGGCGGCCTCTTCCGTGCACAGCCGACCCGTGGGGATAGCGTCCTGCCTGGCATTGAAAGCACTGCATTAATATTTGACAAGGAGAAACGCCCAGGGACTCGGATCCCTTCCTCCCCCAAGCCAATGCAAGGATAAAGCGCCTGTGTGGGGAATTTCAGTACTGCAGAGGGGGGGKTTGTCCCAGTTCAGAACAACTGGGCTACGCTGTAATGCCCTGCGAGAAGGAGCAGAGCCCGGGGTCGGGCAGCCTCCGTGGCTGCCGCTGCGCGGTCAGGCGGGCGAGCGGCAGGAAGCTGCCCGCTCCGAAGCCGCTCGGCCGGCAGGCTCCCGTCAAACGCTCCTTCGTGCTCAGCCAAACTCCGTCAAAACCTGAGCTCTACTCGACAGGACCAAACTGTTTCTTCTGAACGTTTCCAGCCAGTTCGAGACTTGTGACCCAAAGGACCCCGAAACGTGGCAGAAGCATCAATTTGTTCTTCCCGCATCCCTCAGGAGCAGGGATGCTCTTATTCTACAGAAAGTGTAAGCAAGGCATGGAGAACTTCAACACACACCCCCAGAGTCATGCAGGAACTCAACAACGGGGCAAACGGGCCCGGTATTTCTGGCTTCCAACTCTGGGCTGTGCCAACTATTGCTTTCTCTCGCGTATAAATCACTTTTCCCCACCAGTGAAGGACAGCTGGTCACCGAATGGAAAGTGGCAGTTGTTCAACAGCCTACAGCAAAACTGCACACCAGCTTAGGATGGGAAGTGCGGAACACTCAGCACGCAGGGGAAACTGCCAGGGAACGGGGCCAGCTGAGAGGAGACGGAACAGCTGGAACGCGGCCAGAGCACAGCCCGGTGCTCCCACAGAATCAACAGGACAAGTTACAAACTCCAGAGCACAAGAGGAGAGCAGAAACTCCCTCCCTTTCGCTTGTGCAGGAGGAAGGCTGCAGCAGAGCGGGTAGCTCGCCAGGTAGCTGTGCAGCCCAGGGCATCGCGGGGCGGCGAGGCGCATTCGAACCCCTTCTTGTGCAGCCCTCCTGAGGCTGCAGGTCTGGGGCAGCTCGCAGAGGATGCAGGAGCTGCAGTGCTCCCTGACCATCCCAGCCCTCCCAAGTGCACATCTTGGCAAGCACAGAGGCATGGTCCCCAAAGCAAACACTGGGGATGGCCTCGAAGCAAAACCCCTACTGCTGGCTTCAAGCCTTGGAGGACACACAAATGTCCCGAGGTAGATTTCTCTCTGATCTGCCTCAGGTCACAGAGATCTTCTATGATCAGCCCTACACCAGTGCAAAGACTCTCCCCTGCCAGTACAGACTGAGCGCACTGCCCGTCTCCTTCGCGCTTGAGGCTGGTCTGCTTAACTGCTGATGTTGCAAAGCCAGCAGAAACCTTCCCTWGCAAAACCTGGGCTAGCAAGGAGCTACAAACCCCTTAATGCTCACTGTGCTGACGTGTGCTGAGATCACCAACAAGCCATCTCCATGGGCACCTCTAGCAGCTTGGAGATACAGAACTTGCTTCGAGGGCCCAGGTGGAAAGGAGAATCCTTGGAGTCTCATTGAGGTGGCTACGAGACCCCACCAGTGTCACTCGTCTGTGCCAGAAGGGCAGCACTGCACCTCCGAAAGGTGCTTACAGCAATGCTGCTGCCCTGGGTACTTCTGCAGCAACACAACTGCTTCTACACCGCTTGCTGAGGTAAACAGCCGATAAACACAACCCACAAAGTGATATAATTCAACCAACAAAGCTCACGGGTCGTTTTGCTACAGATGGAAGAATTTCCCTTTGCAAACCTTCAGACAGRTGGGGAAGCGAGGTAGGGAGATGAACAGAAAACGAAGAACTCMAACACTTCTGTTTGACTTCAACCTGCTTGGCAGGTTCTTTCGTGATATCTAAACAGAACGGACCCTTGGTCACTCAGTTTAATCCACTCCAGGCCTTCCTTGGCTCTCATGCCCATCCAGCTACTACTTGCACAAACATTAGCACTCGCTACTCCATCTAGACAAAATAYATCCTCAGCTGCCTTGTCTTCTCTGTTAGGGGCACTGCTACGTCCTGTCTAAACCAAGAGCTGACAGCTCCGAGAGGTATTTACATAGTTGTAGCTGTAGCTTTAGATGTGTCCCAACTACTTTCAGTTGTAAAACATGATGGACCTGAGACACAGTGTCATGGTCTTAGATACGCTCCACTGCCCCTGCCAGTTCTAGTAAAGACTTTTTTTTTTTTTTTTTTTTAAAGAGTAAGAAAAATATTTGCCCCAAGGTAAAGCGAGATGCCGCTCTTAAGGAACTAGATTTCATTTTGTACCAGCTGGGATTCGGCCACCTGTAGGAAGTGCAAACAAACAGTAGCTTTCCTCTTTGAAAGCCCAGGGAAGAAAACAGCACCTGAAATGTACCGGAGGGAAGAAAAATAAATAAATAAAGCCCTATTTGAAGGGCCCGTGGTGGACAGTAGCATCGATGGATTGATATATATTCTGGATGAAAYAAAGGTGGTTTCGTTTTCACCACTTTAGAAAACACAGTGAGAGAAATGACTCTTGATACAGAATGGATTTTACTGGAGGTCAAACGTTATTGCAGAGCAACCCGGGAGCTAAGCAGGGATGCAAAGGACAGAGGAATTGCTCGTGTTTTGTTTTACGGGCAGCCCTCCCCCAGCCTGCACCTGCACACGGAGAGCAAATCGAAACCAGTCTATTCTGAACTGCGGGCTCGTTTATTTTGAGGGCCCCAGAGCGTGAGCAYGGCTGAGCCAGCACAACCCACCGAGAGAAACTCGCTTCTCAGCACGATTGCTCCTCTCTGGCAGGCCAGGCCTGGCCAGCGCCACCAGGATTGCAAAGCTGGCTGAAAGTAGGGCAGGCAGCTCCCCAGCCCTCCGCTTCAGCCACGAGGAACCGCACATCTTTTCTCCTCTGGGCCACAGCCGGAGAGCACAGCCCTTTCGGGCACCCTGACGCAGCTGAGCGCTTGAGTGCCTTAGCTGCAGCTCACAAACAAGCTCCCCTTGCTCCCCCTCTCCCAGCACCGATGTGGCTGGAGCCGGGATCCGCGTGTCCTCTGAGCAAGGATCYGGGCTCCGTGCCTCGGCGAGCCCTCTCCGCACGCTCTGCCAACACTCCCAGCCGACTGAGCCCGCGGTGCTGCCTGCTGCTTTTCCTGCACGCTGGCAGAAACGAGCTCAGGGAAACAGCACGCTCGGCCACAGCTCTGCACCTAGGAACATTAAAGCAGACTATTAGGGATTAAATAAATTCAACCTGAGGAGGGCTTAACTGATAAATCTCTAGACTTGCTTCCTACCTGGCATCCAGCTTTGGGCAAGAACCACCTGCACACTCTGTTCTGAAGGTGGTGGAACTCAGTTTATATAAAGAGCTGTCTTGGGAAAGCTTTTACCACCACCATGCGGCAGAAACAGCGACTGCAGCCCGGCAAGTTSCTGAGCTTCAGTCCAAAGGCAGCAAGGACCAGTCTGTCAGGGCAAACAGCAGCAAGTGCGCATGGATTTCAGAGCCCACGGCACACAGCTAAACAGAGTACAGAGCTACTGGAAATATGATACATTTTATTAAGTGACAATTGCAAAACATATTAGCTTGCATTAAGGCATGAATTAATGCAAGAGACACCACRTTCTATCTCCAACCAGTGCCAGAGCGCAGAGCTCCATCATTAAGGAAGCTGGAGGGAACTGCCCTATTTGCTGAAGCTTGCTAAGGGCCAGCAGCTTCCACTCTTCTGAATTTTGGCCTATTGAGATTGAAGAAAAGCTATTTTGTGGCTATTTACTTTGAAAGTAGAGACTTATTTCCATTAGTAGCTGCATGTTTCTTCTCCCCTTCACCGGTCTGGGCAAAGATCTGTTATGTGCAGGATTGTTCTCCTTTGCAGCCCTCTTCATCTCTGACTTTCTTGACTCAGAGACAGTTCAGCTTCTCTGGAGGACTCCTCCTTGGTCTGCAGGGATTGACCTGTGGCAGAACAGCCCACAGCTGTCCAATTCTTGAGTAAAGACTTGGGCTGGTTGTTATTTCAGGTGGGGGGAACTTTCTTCTTTAAAGATAGAAAGAAAGCTAAAGTGCTAAGTTACCCTCTTTAGTCCCTTCAACCTTGATGAGGTATCAGGGATAGAAACWGTGAGCCCTTCACTGGGCAGATGCTCCCACAGCTGGATCATTAACTGCCAACTGCTGAAATGTCTAGAAGCTGCAGGACAGCCACCCGGTCACGTTATTTTCTTGGTGCAGAGACAGCAAGTTTGGCAGGGGTTTTGCATTAGTCCAAGGTGCTATATTTCAGGTCAAGGAAGCAGAAGCCTGGTGTCTCCTCTAGCAGTTTTGGGCTGCTGAAACTCAGGTACCCAACCATGATGTGCAGCACTTGAGGCAGTGGCCTGTTCTTTTGATATGTCCTCAGTAAAACATACAGTTTCTGGCCACTGGCAAACTGGGTGAAATCCAAACTTCAGTATAAAATTAAATTCAGATGTAACAATGGGATCCCTAGGTCAAGCTATCCTCYCTGCAGTGCCCCTGCCTCGTCCACCAAACAGGAATCAAGATTTTCTTGACAGATTAATGACTAGGAACAGCTCTAGATGAGTGATCATAAAACAGGCAAGAAAAAAAATCTGAAATGTTTCTAGCTTGAATGCCTGAAAATGAAGAACCAATGAGCATGGTTGCATTTTCACAATTCAAGGTTGTTCATCCTCAGAGTTCCTCATCAGTGATCCAAAGGACAAGGCAGAAACCCCTGGTACRTGACCGGCACAGATCTGCAACATCCGGAGTAGTCGCTGAGCGGTGGCAACACGTATCCCTTCCAACTGGAAACAAAAATAAAGAAAYTATTAAAAAAAAATCTGACAGCATTAAACCCAGCAGTAAATATGTTTCAGGATTGCTAGATACAGWCATCCCCTCAAACAGGGCAATTTACTGGCTTAATGTTCAAGGAGAACAGTTATACCAGCTGAAACAGCCCAAGAAAGTTTTGGGTGCCCAACCTGACTGAGGTTTGCTGAGAGGGAGGAGGGCAAGCAAAAGGATTGCCAAAAAGCACAAAAACTATCTGCTGGCGAGGGATGAGGGAAGTATAACAAGTCCACAGAAAAGTGAAGTGCACTCCCCTGAGTGACAAGCTCTCCTCTCAGCCTTTCAAAGTAAAGGGTACCTGACAAGAGCGGCGTATCAGACTGCAAATCTGTGAAGCATGAAAGCCTAGGTAACAGGAAGCGTGGTGTGCAGCCTGTGAAACAGTCACATGACAGACAACAGCTCGAGGGTTCCCAGAAAGAAGAGAGAATGTTTTCAGGTGTAAACACACCAAGGCTTTGCATGCTTTGCTAAATTAGGATGGCTTGGCTTTTAGAGAGACTCTGAAGTAACACAGGAAGTTACAAACAATCTAGAGAACTCATTTCAAGGTCAGCCAGACTCTTAAGCCTGTCCTGTTCTTGTAGAAAAGAAGCAGGTCTCTGAAACTCTAGCGTAATGAGCATGCTAAGAATCAGACAGCGAGAGAATCCACAAATTTCTTGAGACACCAAGTATGCACCTTACCTCCAGCTCGCAGTATAGCACAGGACTGCAGTAGACATCTCTCAGTTTCCAGACAGCATTTGTCTCTACGCTGCAGTAATTTACCCTGCCAACTGCAGAAAAGGTTTTTTTTCCACATTACAAAACCCATAATGAACATTCAGTGAAGAGAAACTCCACATCCACATAACGATCCTAGCAAACACGAGGGTTAGTTTTTGAAAGCAGCATATTTGGTAGGGCAGCAATAAGCAGTACAGACTCAATGGTACAAGATTAGCACTGGGCATTAGCACAACAGTCTCAATAATAGCGATGGCAGAAATAGTATCCCCACATCAATGAGTACTGCAGTGTTATTAACATTTTGGGTAAGGGATCCTTACAATGTGATAGGGGCAAAATCTTCCTCTTGTCAATCAATGAGAAGCCCTCCTGTCTCATGTAGCATCACTGGGTGTTCCTATCTCCAGGACTTCACCTCATTGCAACAGTCATAGCACAAAGTAGTGCTGAGACTTTCCTTTCCCACCCCAAAAGAAGCCTTCCTACAACCCTAAAAATCCAGGGACACAGCAGCTCTGCTCCAACACATGGTAGTGTAGGTTGGTCCCTCCAGATCCTCATAGCTGAGCCTGGGAGGCTGTAGAGATCTGCATCTTCTTTGCTCAGAAGCAAGGGAGAGGAAAACATTAGAGGCATAATAAGACCAGACAGCACGCAGCAGGGATACCAATCATATATTAAAAATACACTTAATAGCTTCCATAAAACTTCTCCATTTGGATTCATTTTATTACCACAGCATCATATGCTCCTCACTGTTAACTGAGACTATCATTAAGACAGATCTGCAATAACAGACATGAACAGACTTCTGCAGTGCCACAGAAAATCAATAACACAATTCATATCTAGAGAATTAGAGATGGAGAAGAGAGGTCTACCTAGAAGCAAAAAAAAAGACGCTTTTTTTAACCTAASGTTTTTAAAAAAATGAATTTAGGTATAATTTAAACAAAGATTTGGACAAAATTGTTGCTCAGTTTTGTTTCAGATCGATACCGTCCTGATTTAAGAAGGACAACTCCCTGTTGCTTTGCTGAGAGGTGAAGCACCGAGCAGATGCTGTACGTACCCCCAGTGACGAGGAAGCACACTTTCCCCAGGAAGAAGCTGGCATCCACATGAGCTAGCGAAGCTTCGACATTCTTCAGGCTGTCAGAAAAGCAGAGACAATCCAGTTAGGCAAGGAGGGGGAACTACTGCAGCACAAGGACAAAGGGAACAACTTTCAGAAGTCCAAATGATGCTAAAATCTGCTGRTCTGTGGAGCAAGCAGAATCATGCTCTATACAAAAAGCATGGCAGCAGAGACTTCTGTAACAGCCACAGTTGCTGAAGAACCCAGAAAACATCCTTTCTACCCAAGACTAATAAGCTAGGCTAGCTTGAAGAGTGTCCTGTAAGATTTGCAGACCCTAAGCATCCAAGCTCATTAAGATCCAGCAAGACTTCAGCACCACTTCGGCTGCTTCAGAAGAGCTAACCCACTCATTTCTGCAGCCTCATCTGTGTTGCAAATATGCAGCTGGGCCTGTCACTTTTAGTAAATGAAAGCTGCATCAGTCATAAGCTAAATAAGCAACAAAATACCAATTTTTATCTCCTAGCAAGTCTCTCCTCATGCCCTGGGGACAAAAATAAGAGCATAAGACAAGAGAAGAGAGATTGATCCCTGAAGACTTCCTTTCCTCCACTGGGAGATTTGCAGTGCTGATCCCACTGATCCGCAGTGCCAAAGAGGCACCAGCACACGCAGCAACAGGACCATCAGTAGGCAGTGCTGCCTCGTGCACCAGACCAGCTGCCTGCACACTGCAGAGCCCAGCAGCATTGCTACCGCTTCCACCTAATTTCACAGGCAACCTGCTTCCAGATCTCAGCTCGTATCACTCCATATCTGGATCCAGGAAGAAGCTCTGCTTTCACTGTGGTACCTAATGCACAGCAGCTGCATTCACAGTCCTACCTAATCCATTCTTTGAAGCTGGATAACAACTGCATCTGTTTGTGGCCTGTTCTATCACAGCAAATCATGGATTTGAGGTCCAGGAATCTGGGTTCTAACACAGGAAAAATGCAGATTTGACCATCGATCTAAGAAAGAACATGAGCTGCCCCACTGCAGTTTTGCCCTCTTTTACCTGTACTTGCTCTTGATGTCAATCATAAATGCAATCAGATCTATCCTGGGCCGAAGGTGATCCCTCTCTGAAGGTAAGGGGAGGGATGTTGCAAGGTGGCTGAAAAATAAATTTCCCAGGTTAACCAAAGAGCTTAGTAAAACATTATCCACTTAACGACTTCAGTCCACTACGGGGCAAATTATCAGGAGGTAGACTCAGTGTCAGCAGCTTATGAAAACTTAGGCAATAAAGAGTCGCTGTGGTTCAATTAATTGGTATCCTCACATCCCCCTTAAGGCTATTCATTGTTGTTGACAGCCACAATTGACTCTTGCTAGTCCAAAATGGTTGTAACAGGAAGCTTAACAGGGTATAACAAGACTAACACTGAGAAATGTTTTCTGCCCATAGGTTTGTACRGTAAACATTTTATTTCATTTTTAAGAAGTGACCTTTCCAAGAAAACCAACCCCAATGCCTTCCTGTGTATTTCTCTATCAAATTCCAGTTAAAACATGTCAATGCCTTCCTTTTCCTGACCATACACTCAGAAGCTACACACCCACCAACTTGTGCTGTATTTGCAAAAGTTTAAACCAGAAACTTTGTCACCAGTAAAGTTTACTGGTTCTATTTACACACCATTACACCCCTTTTTGTTCCTTTCACCGCCTCAGGGGTTAGCGGGGTAGTTGAGCTATCTTGAGCTAAAGCTATACCACAGTAAAGCCACTCTTGACATAACTGCTCGGAGGAGAATTACAGATAGTTGGGGGGGGTTGTTGTTTTTTGTTTTGTTTTATTTCCCCACCTGCTTCTTCCCATTAAAAAGAAAGGCCCGTGTAGCACAGACAGCTTAGGCCTTTCACAGGGGAGAATGTTACCAGTGACAYGTTTTTGGAAGATCACCTGAAGGGCAGGTTGGAACAACAAAAGGAAGAAAAAGGTCCATGATTTGGAATCCTGTTATATTCAAGTTAACCTCATTAGATGATGCCAGGGGTCTCCAGACTAGCTAGGTAGGTCTATAACATGCATAATCCCAAACCAACACAGTGGAAAAGAGCCATCCCAGACCTCTGTTCCCCTRCAGAGGGGCTGTGCTGCAGCACAGGAACTTGCCTCCTGACACATCACCCTGCTGTACGAGCCTTAGTGCTTTTGAACTACCTTGCTGGAGCACGAGCAACCACCTAGGAGAGGCATTTCAGAGCTCAGCACATGCTACAGTATTAGCACAGCAAGCCAGAGATTAATTTGCTATCAGTTAGCGCAAGTCTCCAGGATCCCATGATCAGAGGGAGGCAAATATTCAAACTAGCTAAAAAAAAAAATAATTAAAAAAAAAAAAAAGCTAAACACAAACATCTTCTGAAAACCTGACTAAACTCATTTGCTCTCGGCAAGAGAGCTGTCAAGGTGGTTATCTAGTAAAAAGCTAATTAGGCCAGCTTTTAGACAGGACTCGTCGTGCAGCTGAAGATAAAATTCCAAATGCATCTCGATGGCTCGAGGAAAAGCTTGTGCTTGTGCATGCATACAAACCAGATGCRGGCTAAGAATAGCACTAGGAGTAATGGGCATCTTTTATGAAAACTTAATTGGTTTCAAGTGGCTGCTGGAATTTTATTTGTCTCAATTTTCTGTGGATGTTTAATCCCTCCATACACCTGTCCGCTAACCAAAAAAGGAAACAAAACCAAATGGTGCCCTTATTGCACCCTTGCATTTTATCAGTCAAACATCTGTGCAACATGCAAAAGGCAATGGCACATGCAAAATAAACAAGAAAATTAAGTGAGAAACGTTCCCTCCTCCACTTGTATGCAGATCCAAACCGCTTTTTTTCCTCCTGAAAAAAAAAGAGCAGCTTGTTTTCTGCAGGTGGCAGACACATCTGCGCAACRGTGTGCTCTAGCGTTCACTAAGGGGAGGCCTTTGAAGGGGAGGCACTCCAGGCATCTCCCTTCCAGCTGCCACCACGGGGAAGGACGTGGCGTTTGCACGCACGTTCTAGGCCGGAGTTTGCGGCTCGGCAGGGCTCCGCCGCTCACGTTTCGCCTCCTGAAGCGGGTGACGGCGGTGCCGCGTGGGCTGGGCCCACGTGCGCGGGCGCCCGCCGCGCCGCCCCGCCCCGCCGCGGCCGGACTCACATGCTGATCTTGAAGCTCTTCTTCTCCTTGAGGATGGCCTCGGCCAGCTGCTGCTGCGCGCCCTCGTCCGAGCCCACGAGCTGCGCGGCGACACGGAGGCGCCGTCACGCCACGGGCCCCGCGCGCTCAGCCCCGCCCCCCCCGGCAGCGGCGCCGTGACCGTTACAACGGCCGGGGAGGGGAGGGCGGGGAGCAGCCGCGCGCGGGGGTGGGCGAGGGGGAGGCGGCCCGGTGCCGGTCTCGGTGCCCGCGGACCTACCAGGAGGGCGGCGGAGTTGAGCGCGGGCAGCTTGCCGAAGGGCCGCACCGCCGCCATGGCCGCGGCGGCCGCGCCGCGATTCAAACGG